AATTTCTAGGGACGCACAGCAGTTTCCCACCAAAGAGAAAGGGGGAGCCTATTCGAGAACTCGCGAGAACTTCGGCGGCGAGAGTGTTTATCTTCCAAAACAACAATGCAAGATATCACTGTCACAAAGATGGATCTAGAGTTGCTAGACATCGAAGACGAACGGGTTCTGTTAATGGAGTTGGCAAAAAGACAGATTAATCTTTCGGCGTAGTTGTGCATTGTAGTTGTTCCTCGGTTTTTAAAAATGGCACGACCTGGCCCCGACTCGAGAAAGAAGAACCACGCAGACAGCCGGAAAGGAATACCAAAGACCAATCACAGCTGCTTTTTGTCTGCACACTTCCGCTTGAGGTCAGCGCGGGTTTGTGACCATCAAACACATAGTCAGGATTATTTTTTTTTCCTCTTTCTTTTTTTATTATTTTACGTACGCAACGACGGTTGCAGAATGTGTGCGTGGTCACGCACAGAGACAGATTTGACGGTTGCAGAGGCTATGCGTCAGAAGCATAAATTGGCCCTAAGTCTTATCAAATTTGATGCTACTTTCCTTTATCCTGACCACAACCTCCGCTCATCCCCACACTTTGTCATACCCCTCAGTTTCTCCTGATTTTTTAAAACTTTGTCTAGCATATTCTTTAACATGAGGTTTAGTTACACTAAATCATGCATATATATTTATTTTTTTTTATTTTTTTGGTTTGGGGTTAGCCATTTGTCCAATTCCCACTTCAGTCCTCTGCCACTTGGTGACAAGTTTATCTCTTGATAGACTATGTGGACATTTTGTCTTATATCCTGTAATTCTGCAGAAGAATAAGCGAGTCCACGGTTCACTTCTCCCACAACTCGCTTCAATTAGTAATGAATGCCCCCCCTCATTCCATCTCAAATGAAACCTTCTGAAACACAGAGCGGGGCGCTAAACAAAGATCAAATTCACTCTCCTGCCACCAAAGAGCTGAATTGTGGATGGACAGACTTGGACGCCTCCGTTTCTCTCAGGGGGATAGAATAAATTCCAAGCTTATTTATACTGTTCCAAAAATCAACTTCATACAAAAGGCGAGCAGAGGACAAAGCCATCATTTACTGTGGCCCCTCAGGCAGATAATTGCAGATAGTGTGACCCCTATGCAGAGGAACCAAAGCTGTACATTCGGACAATATAATATACCGACGGCCATTGTAGTCTAGATCTAAGAACTGTGCTCTTGAGCCGACATGTTTCATATGCCAAAAAGGATGATGGATGAAAGCTACAACTGGTCAGGATAACCTCAAGTATCTATGTCAAAGTAAAGTTTCTTAAATGCTGGCATTAGCCCTGACCACACAAGGTTCAGTCATCTATAAAGAAAAGTAAGTATCAAGGCAGCTGAGCGAGTTTAAAATCTGTTGAAAAGGCTGCACTGCTTTCTCTATAAGTACAGAAAGGGATTCCCAGCGGGGGAAAAAAGCATTTTGAGCTTTTCCTTCGGGGTTTGTATGAGGAAGTGTGAAGTAGATAAATAACATTTGAAAATATAAAAGCAGGAAAAATGTAAAATAAAATATCAAAAATAGATTAGAAAAACTGAGAAGTTACACTCATAAGCCATTTTTGATTAAAATTATTTTCAAAGTTTCCTTTCTGAATTTTAAATTAATCTTAAATAATGAAGTAAAAAAATATTGGTGTTATATTTGATCAGGACCTGTCATTTAAACCCCATATCAAAGAGGTACCAGAATTTCCTTCTTTCATCTGCAGAACATTGCAAAAATTAGAAATATCTTTTTCAGGGATGATGCTGAGAAACTAGTCCATGCATTTGTTACTTCAAGGCTAGGCTATTTTAATTCTTTAGGATCAGGAAGTCCTCAAACTGTACTTAAAAGCCTTGAGCTGATCCAAAATGCTGCAGCCAGAGTTCTGATGAAAATTAAAAAGAGAGATCATATCTCTCCTATCCTGGCTTCTCTTCATTGGCTTCCTGTTGAATCAAGAATAGATTTTAAAATCCTCCGTCTCACATGTAAAGCCTTAAATGGCCAAGCTCCATCTTATAGCAGTGATCTGCAGGTTAGTAGTTCCTAGAATTTCTTAAGTAGAATGGGAGGCAGATCTTTTAGTTGTCAGTCTACCAGCTACCAGTGTTAGTCCATGAGGCAGACATGCTGTCTACATTTAAAGCTAGGGTTAAAACCTTCCTTTTTGATGAAGCTTATAGTGAAAAACAGAGTGATGTTTGCTTAGTCTCTGGGTGAGTAGAGAGGAAGGTGGAGGTAAAGTGTCAGCAGCCTGATCCAGTGGGGGAGAATTTCAGTCCATACAGACGTTTCTCCTTGGCCCTATTGTGGCTCTACCTTTCTTATATCTGATCCAAAATAGTTATGTTAAGGCTGCTGGGGGATTTCATAATTCTATCTCTATTCTCTCCTTCTACAATATTTGTTAGTTCAACCTCATTTTTTGTTCTCCCTGCTTTTTCTCATCATAGTAGCTTCATCTGGTCTCTTCCTGTTTGTCTGTGACACCAACCTGGAGAGAAATATCAGCTGTGCTGCTGCCATGAAAACCTTTGTTTATAGATGTTGGAGACCGACCTATTTTTCAGTGTAGTTCTGTTTCTCTGACTGTGACTAACTGGATGTGCTCTCTTCATCCTTTGACATGGGAGCTGGCTCTGAGCTCGTCAGCCTGGCTGTTTGTTTCCTGGACGGGAGCTGGTTGACATTTGCCTTTTGTATCTCTGTTTCTGTCTCGTTGAACCCCAGTCGGCCTCGGCAGATGGGCACTCGCACTGAGCCTGGTTCTGCTGGAAGTTTCTTCCTGTTAAAGGGGAGTTTTCCTTCCCACTGTCACTGCATGCATGTTCAGTGCGAGGGATTGCTGATGCATCAACAACTAAATGCGAGCAAAAATCCTCACAGCAAGCTCATCCAGGAAGAAGATGTCCTGCAAGTCGATGACTGAATACAATCAACTGGTTTTCTTTGATAAAAAATGTCAACCAACCTGACTGCTTTGTCTCTGTAAAGTGCCTTGAGAAGACATGTGTTGTGAATTGGCGCTACAAATGTATAAACTAAATTGAAAAATTCTGAAATTAATTTTTTTTCAAATTTCAATTTACAGAATGTTTGTTTTTTTATTTCTGTTTACAAACACTTTATTTGCTACATTAATGGAACAAAATACTTTCAAACTGAAAAGTGAGCTTTATGTTGTGCCGCTCTTTTACCCTGACGCCCCTAAATCCAGAGAAACCAACTGTTAGAAGCCATTCAATTAATAAATGGTGCTAAGTGCCATTTCATCTAAATAGCTAGCTGTTCTGTAGAGGCTTTTAATGTTGAACATTAAGGAAAAAACAGCATCACGAAAATGAAAGAACACGATAAATGTTCAGGGAGAAATTCATAGAATAGCTCAAACCACATAACAAAAAATAGAATAAAAAAAATATCCAAATAACCCATCAGCATAGAAAATAACATCCCAATCTTTGCATATCTAAAAAAACACAGCTGTCTTCCTAAACTGACAGGTCAAGGATGGAGAACATAAAAAGGAGAAATAGCTAAAAGGCTACAGTGACTCTGGAGGAGCTGCAGAGATCAACTGCTTAGGTAGCAGACCAGAACAACTTACAGTTGGCCACTCAATAAATATGTCTTTACGTCAGAACAATGAGAGAAAGCAAGTTTTGCAAAATAAACTGAATAATTCTGCACAAAGATTTCCACAAGCCAGATAGGAAACAAGTTAAATATTCTCTAGTTAAATAAAACAGAATAAACGTTTTATTTTACTAGATTAATAAAAAATAAATAAAAAAACAGGAAACTGCAAAGTTGATGCATTCCTGGAAGAAAACCAGTAGAAGATGCTCCCATTTCTACTCATGAAATGTTTTAAAAACCAACAATGTGCCTTAAACTCCAGTTATGCTGTCATTTCTGTTGGTATATTACCCTAAATCCCTTATGACACCTCAACAGGTTTAGCAGATTGATTACTTTTTGTAAGGCACGTTGAAAGTCTAATCATTCTCCTGTTTAAACATCATTAAGTCTCTGGAAGAAGCTCTGTCCCAATCAGCCATTCTTTCTGACATGCTTCTGCAGCCAAACGCTTGGGTGACACCATGTCTTTGCAGCACTGCATTTAATCCCTAATCAGGCTGACCTCACAGGATGAAAAAGCCAGAGCATGTTCAACTAAACTAACAAGTCTGCAACAGAGCCAAATCTTCTGATGACTTACTAAAAGACTAGAACATGCGGTGAACATGCTCCCAATATGGTTTTCATTTCTGCAGTTTGGACTCTGCATGCCATTCTCCAACCCTGTGCTGTTCAGGATCATCCAAACACGCCTGTGCCATTAAAACAACCCCTTCTGCTGCAGATCATGAGCCTGAAAGTTCGATTTAAAAACAAGAAACAAATTGTATGAATAGGAATTAATTTAGTAGAGTAAAAGATCTTAAATCGAGGAGTAAACAAGTCCCCCAATGTGACCGGGATCATTTTTCTTTAAACTGTCAAACAGGGACATGCGTGTTCATGTTTAACAACCAGCAAAACTCCACATTTCAGAGGAAAGCCAGGAGGCAACACGAGGTGAGCTGCATCGTTATTCGGATCAAAATAATGCTGCTAAATAGAAATCACTGGGAAAAGGCCACGCATTTTAGAAGCTTTATTTGCAATCGTGCAAACTGCATGTGGAAACAAACAGGAGCGCCCCTAAAATGAACATGCAGCTGACGCAATAGGTCCATCATGCATCATATTTATCCCTCCAGCTCAGGTTATTGTTTTTTAAATATAACTCACTGACTCGTTAAGAGGAAATAAATGCAAACTCTAAAGCAATCAACAGCTGATTACCACGATCCACGGATGGATTTGGTGGATTGAGTGTATCCACGCATGAGAAGGACACGCTGGAGTAAAGTTGTGAATGACATGTTTTAATGCAGCAGCAGACAAATGTTGACTTACTTTCTGTGCAACACATCCCACAGCCAGGAGCAGACATGCTGTCAGCGCCCCAAGCCACGTGAAACGAGTCATTTTCCTCCAGTTGTTTTGGTTTTTCCGACGCGTCGCACCGTGAGCAGCAGATCCTCTGCTTCCCTCTCAATCACCTGAAGCATCGGGAGCGCGCTTCCATCGCTCCCTGCCTCTCTCTCTGCACACATTTATTGGAAAACAACACGCCCCTCGCCTGCCCCACTATACTACTGAATGGCTCATTTTATTCATTCATAACATCCTGATAACTCAAGAAATCAAATAAAGGTGAAAAATGGAGTTCTACGGAACAGGATTAGGGCTCCTGGAAAGAAAAAAAAGTGAACTGATTGTTAATCATTATTTCAGTTTAATATTCTGACTTTATTCTCAAAATTGTCTTGTCTCAAAAAAAGTGTTTTATCTCAGAATTCTGACTTTCTTCTCAGAATTCTGACTTTAATCTCAGAATTCTGACTTTTTTCTCAAAATTCTGACTTTAATCTCAGAATTCTGACTTTAATTCCAAAATTGTCTTGTCTCAAAAAAAGTGTTTTATCTCAGAATTCTGACTTTCTTCTCAGAATTATGACTTTAATCTCAGAATTCTGACTTTAATTCCAAAATTGTCTTGTCTCAAAAGAAGTGTT